GGAGCTTTCTTGACGCCCCGGATAAAAATGTCAGATTAACCTGTCTCCGACACGATCACTTTGACGGTGCCAATAAAACGCTATTATGTCCTATTCATTTCGTAGTAAGATCGAGGCTCTTGTGGAAGGTGAATATCTTACCTTTTGTATCCCGAACGACAATGCCATTCCAATTGGAGCTAATGTGATATGGGTCAACATAAACTCGGTGGGAGTGCATGAATACTTACGCGTGGTCAAAGACATCTTCCAAAAGGGCGAGTTTCCGGTTGGATAAGGAAGGATAGAAGCACTAATTCTAATAGCAATTGGTGGTCATCATCTTCTTTCGACAAATAAATCATAAGCACTAACACAATAGTACAAATGACGTATATGGCAAAGGCTAAGAAACGGAAGAAGAGGCTTGGAGGGAAGATCGAAGAGAGATTGTCATCGGTGCCGGTTGACCCCAGTCTTCTTCTAGTTTTCCACAAGATGACTGCCATGAACACTTGGAAATTTATAAGTCTTTAGAAAACACAATGGCGTGCCTTATCTTACCTTCTAAAATAATCATAATTGATGTCTCGACCAGGACAATGGTGGCTGTAATAAGAGTCCTACGAAATCATATTACTTATTGAGCGAGGCGTCGGTTGCAGACTCACGGCGAAGTGGCTGTTGAATGACAATATAATCTCCATTGATCGAGTTCGATGCTCTCCCGTTGTTGAAGACCGATCTAGGACACGCGTCAGGGCATCTTCCAAGTGCAAGGAGCAGCTCTTGTTACCAAGAGAGTCGCGAAGAAAACCACCATATAGATAAACGAAGGAACTGCCAGCAGCAGCTAGATGAATGCTATATAAGTATAAGAATCGAATCGAACGAGAGCGACTAACCAATGTCTGTGTTCGAGCTGATAACGCCAATGACCTCCCATAGATTGCGTAGGACAAAGCAAGAAAGACCTTGTACCACCGTGAAGTCAGCGCATGTACTAAGTGGTAAGATTTACGGAACGACAAGCGTACCTCAACCAAAAATGCTAGACAGAAAGATACAAGCCTGGAAAGACGTTCACAATAGAAAGACCTTTACAGAAGGATACGTACAAAACAGGGGCGCCATAGATCAAACAGGATTGGAAGAGGCAAAGAGCAAAGGAGGGTGGTGGTCCAAATTGCTGGCCAGGAATCATCAGGAGCATGTAACAGAGGTCATATACAATGCCGGAAATAATCATCGTATGCCAAGTTCTCATCCTGCGCACACGAGCGGAGAACAAGGCAGGCATTAGGACGACCAGTAAAAGAGTCAAACCCAAAAGTTGGAGACAGTTGAAGACGGCCACAACAGCCCGGATGGTGTGAGTATCCATCGACACTATGCGGAGCATTAGTGCGTTTTCGCATATGGCAGTCATCACTTACTCTTCAGTTTCCAAGTGACGGACAGACGAATGGAAGGAATGAAAGAATCACATATAACCAATCTCTCACAGTGGACCTAGGGATAGGTCACAGGCTGACATTGCAGAACGAGACAACGACGCCTTACATAGAAATCTAGTTGTTTCATATCCCGTCTGATTCGGTGTATCAATGTAGTGTGGGTACCGGCACAAAGTCATTCGACGTCAGGTATCGTCATCTCTATGTTGTTGACCTTGGGTCTGCGGATATGATGTACTAAAAGGGGACTTCGGGTTGAGCGGATACGTTGGACAAGTATAAAACAGAACAAATTTGACGGGAAGATTTTTTGATTGGATAAGATCCAAGGCATGGGGATTGTACATCGCATGCGAGTTTTTCTAAACAGATTGTTTAGTTACAATCATGAACGCGGACAGAGTAGACTCAACTGGCATAAGTTACAAGGCATGAGACTTCGATTTTTGACCGGCGACACCATGTAACTTGTTGATAGAAGCCTACTTATAGAAGAGGTTCCGAAACCGAAATCGCTTCGATGGGGTATCAGTTCCCAAGCATAGCTGAACTCGAGCATCCCGTCAGTGATTTCAATATGTCGCACTCCTAGTCAAGTCTTAGTTCTTCGAATAAAATGGCCGAATGTTGTGGAGCCTGCACGACACCGGCGTGAGTAAACGATTTTGAGAAAGTGTAGCTCATAACGGCCATCTAGATGGTTATCAATCGCAAGACCGTCCGGATCCTTGAACATGGATCCGACGCCTAGACCGTCACACGCGCACCGATGAGAGCGGACATGGGCAGGGCGGGCAGGACAGGGCAGGACAGGACATACCAATCGTTTTGGTCATGCTAAAGGGCTGCTTGGCAACCAACTCCCTCGAAATATGCAGGACACCGAAGAAAATGTCTCAATTCGGAAGTCATCGATATACACATCGCAATTGTGCTTCTACATCTTCTACTGGAAGTCATATATCTGTGAAGAACTATCAGCAAACAAGTGTCATGGAAACCCGACAAAGGAACATACACTTCTGGGGATCTATGCAAATAGAGGGTCAGTGGTGTTACCCGAACAAACGAAACTGGACCTACTTTTACTGAATTCCTTCTCTCTATGCTTGGCTACAAACCTTTCTAACGACAGTACCATCAACTTGACCACCTCTTCTCCGATCTCAGCTCTCCCTTCTTCATTATCCTCCAAAATGGATACCACATCCCGATATCGCTCGATAGCGTCACTAAACAGGTCATAGAACCTCGAAAACCTCTCCTTCGTAGCCGCTTCCCCCCGTATCACTGCTTAACGCGTGCATAAGCGGAGAAAAGTTACAATCGAAATACGCCGCTTTGGCCGGACGAAAGTGTAATTTATGGTGTTTTGCATTGCCTTGGAGAGCATGTCGATCAACGCATCATGCTTGGGATCCAAGAGGACGTTTCCCCGAAGGAAGGCGATGTAATTGAGGAGAAAGAAGGAGGAAAGCGAAGCCTGCTTCTGTGTGCGCGACAATACGTTGACGCCGTTAATTGTCGGATTAACCACGTCATCTGCCATAAGGAATGCTTAAATACGACTTGACACCGAAGAGGATGGCTATACTCACAGACATAGTGCTTCAGGATGACACGCTCATCACCTTCACCAGGTTTTGAGAGCTGTGAGAGGATTGACAGCATCGGCACGATCCAGTACTTGCCTGCCTTGCCCTTCTAGACATTTGCGACACCAAGCCCCACGCATGTCGACGTGTCCCTTCTGTGTGTCATTGGGTGTCGACAGTGTAAAGGGCGAAGCAGGATGCGTTAGATGGGTTGAGGGCAACGGCAACATGCATAAGAAAGCAACCAAGGGAACGAGAGTCTCCAGAAAATGGGTTGATGGGAAAATCAGAGCCTGGCGGTGGCATAGAACCTTCCGCAACAAGTTTTGTGCAGCGTTGCGTCAATTTCTTTGCTCCAGTTTCGACCAACAGAGTCTAGCTACGATGTCAGAAGAATAAACAGGATAGATACTACAACGCACCATTTTCATTGAGTCATCCTCGTCCTTTTGAATGCAACGGCTGCATCGAGACGCTCTAATACATCTCTATATGCGTCGAGCTGGTTCGGCTGTGGTCTGGCGGTGGTAAGCATGGCACATTGGGAAGGAAACGGTGCACGTACCCACGGAGAGCCAACACTTCCTCGACTTAGATACCCTCTTTGTTGCTCACCAGCTTGTCGATCTTGAGTGATGCCTTACTCAATGTCTGCTAGGCATCAATCGTCCGTTCCTCCTCGAAGAAAGGCGACGTACTGCTTGCATGTTGGTTGAGGATTTGCGTGATATATACAGCAGTAGGGCAGATGTTCCCGCCTCGGCGACGCGAGCATCAAAACTATTGAGAATTGCTGCTTGGTTAACTCTTTGCCGATAAGAAAATGGATAGAATTTACGTGTCATTCCGGGATGTTTGCCTCGCTTTACTGAGGTTGTGCTCCAGCTACAAGAGTTGAGGTACAATTTACGAGGGTAGCGGTCGCAAAGGATGCGCCAGCTCGATTTCTGCTGTTTCATCGTACATAGTGTTGGCGTTGGAGGTAGTGGTGGTAAAGAGCAAGGAGCCGGATCACCGGACCGATCTCTCCGCAGCGTTTTCCTTCGGGATGACCGCACACCGATTTTCTAAACTCTTTGAAACTCTGTGACAGGCCATCAATGCATCAATGTTGGAACGGATTTTCTCGCTGAAATAGGTCAACGTTGAACTCCATTCCATTCCTCCAAAACGGCACTGAATAGTCGGCCTTCTTCTTATCATCTCTTGTCTTTTTTTCCCTTTCCTTGTTTCCCTTTTCAATGGCCGCGTTGAACGGCCAAGGCTACAGGCGGGCGACAAAGTGATGGGTACGCTTTGCTTGATTCCCTCTGCATGAATATTGAATATTGACTAATTCAGTATAAAAGTACCTAGTAGTATCTACGACTGTCAAATCGTACAGTTATCATCACTTGGACACCCCTTCGTCCTACCGAGACGTCATTCGCGTACAAGTTCTTGACACTTCGCGACCATTGCGCCATTGACTCTGAGAGTCAGACAAAGGTTCGTTTCCATGGTGGTGCCTCTGGGTAGGGACATCAGCAAAAACCCCCAACGGTTGCAATCATTACTATTCTTGGAATATCTTATCAGTGCCGATATTCGGCTGACAATCAATATCATAATCGCATCAATTTGTAATTGTATTATAATCCGCTGCGACGCTTGTGGATCTTACAACTGCATACAGCCCGATTGCAACCAAATTGCAACACTCTTACCATGGTATTGTAAATGTGCATCAGCTTATTTCCAGTAATACTTCAAGTTCATCCTTCCTTGTGCCGCATTTATTAGTAGGGAACAAATTGGTTTGATAGTGTTGCAAGCATTGCATTATGTCAATGTGAAAGATGTTTTACTAGTACATAGGTCTTGGCCAGAATTACAATGAATCGCTAGTACAAGCAGACAGAAAGCAACTACAGCATAGTATCATCGAATGGCGGCAGGAAAGCGCGGACTGGGCCATAAAATAATCAAAGTCCTTTCAAACTCCGCCGTTCCAGGTTTCGCGCTCCCGGATCGCGTCATTGCACGTGATGTTGACCTTTTGTTGATGCAAATTCCGACTCCCTTTCTCTCGTTCTTTCCATCACCATCGTTCCTCAGTTCTTCATCGATACTCCACGAAAAAGTCTGTGATAATTCTCCAATCAATTCAAGTCCTTCTGATGGTGTTCTTTCTGTCCTAGGTGCCTCTATTCATTCACTTCTAGCTCATGGCCAGGGAGAACGGTGTTGCGGTTGAATATTTCTTCGAGTATGTGGACCGTAGATTTATCTCTTCTATTGTTACTGACTACACTTCTCTATTTGCCTCAGAACTCGACCACATTGACATTCTCTCCACCCCCAGCTATGGCAGCTGTGCGACAATCCCGTGTACGGTGTGAGTTCCTTGTAGACTTTGCTTCAAGATTATTTCTATGTTCTAGGACTCGTTGGTGCCTTTGCGATATCTGTTTAGGGATGGAGGACATTCCCGCAGTCAAGGTGAGTCAAGACTGCCGGCTACTTTCGATGCAATGATTTGTTTTGACGCTGCAGCCACTCGCTCATTAATACCCCTGCCGTGACGACGCCATTATCAAGTGCATTGATAAATCTATAGCCGCTGACGCTCGCAAGAACCTGCTGAGGGAGGGTAATGAGTACGTACATTTATATCTGAGTATGCTCATACTGACTGGGTGCTTGATAGGTGGGCTTTCCATCGAAGGAATGGTGCGCCGCGAAAGACTGGAGGATCGTATGGCTCGTTTGTGCACCTCTCGAGGACATTAAATACATACTAGATGTCATTTTGTGTACCTTATGCTGCAATAAATTTATCCTTTCGTGCTTTGCATTGTACGCTTCGCTAGCTGAATGAATGATATGATCCATTTAATTGCTTGAGTAATGGTCATATCGTTCACTTAGTTGGCTCTTACGGAGGCCTGATATGAAAGTTGTATTCACATACAATCATGATAATTCTATCAGGTCATATGAGAACCACCATTCTTGTAGAAATTATATTCCGATTATAATATGGGTACAACACGGTTATAAAATGTACGCGTCGACGATAATCAATTATAACTGATTATACATACTACAAGTGATTATTGCGATTACAAGCCTCTCGCATGTATTTGTAATCGTTCTGCATTTTTGCTGATGGATGTGCACCGTACCGTTACGGATACGACCGTAGCAATACGGCCGTAGACCGTATAAAAATTATCGGCCACGGTACGGTACGGTTGATGTCATATCCGTACCGTGTCCGTACCGTTGTCCGTATACGGACACTTTGACGACGACGATGGGTATCTGGTGCCAAAGTGTGAGTACTATATGCTTCTTTTAGGTCATAGGTACTGACCTTTATGGAATAAGATAGTTATCTGTCCCTCCCTCAATGACCGTATTCAAACCGTATGAATACGGCCGTATTTTGGGTCGTTAAAGTCGTCCACGGTACGGACCCGTATCCGTATACACCGTACGTAACCACCGTACTACGGATACGGTGCACATCCCTACCTCTGGGAAGCCACAAGCGCTTCCGAATTCCAGTTTCCAGGTCGTTGCCCAAGTAGGGGGCGCATCTTCTTGTGCAAATGCCAAACCCTAGCGCTATTTCGACATCCACATTACACAGCGCAACAAGAGCCTTGGTTACCTTGTTCCGCTACCTTCGCCACTCTGGAACTGCATTGTTTGTATTCTCATTGTCCTCCATGGTGACTTTTCTCTGCGCATATAAAGAAAGGTTGGAAGCGACCTTGGGCTCACACTATCTGACATCTTCAACCACTACAAGGAGCACTTTGCCAACTAAGTACATCTCAAGTAAATCATAGATTCCTCGTTATTACCAATGCTTATTGCTTCTCAGAAACATGTCACGCAATACCTACACCCACTTTGGACCTTTTCTAGGGCGCAAGCCTTCGCTCAGGCAGCTATCGCGCCACAGGACATTAAATACTAATCCCTCAAGCGATGCTATATACATCGACGGAACAGGAAGTGCCGAATATGACCAATACTTCTCTCCTCTACTGCGTCTTCTCTCCAGTGAGCGCGTCAATGGACGGAACCTCGTCAAGAGCATGACAATCGTTGCCATCGACTGGTCGCGTCTCATAGACCGTTTCAACTGTCATGCCGCCCTCAGGTCATTCCCAGATATCAGTGACCTCTGTATTTCAAATATCCGATGCAGCGTAGACGAGTTGCGGTCTCTCATCCTTTCGTTCCCCCATCTCACTTCCCTGGACCTGGAACGCGTCGCCTTCGACCACCAAGTTGAAGCAGTGCCGACTCAACCTGATAGCCGAGAGCAATACTCAAACATTGATCGGCCAACTATCACTCTCGACGCAAGTTCGGTCTCGGTTCCGGACCCTTTCTTGCCCCCGTCTCCCCTCCGCTTCCGTCAACTGCGGTATCTTGAAATTAAAGGGTCGAGCAACATTCTAGGGACGGCGAAAATACCAGGGACGGCGGACATTATGCATCGCATCGGCGCCCTTTCACAGGCCGTATCTAGTCTAACAATCGGACACATCAGCGTTGGTATGCCACTCTGAAAATTTTCGTTCCTTGTTCGCTGGCTCAAATTCTCTCAGATAGCCCAATTCCTATTTCCTAGATCTCTGGCCTTAACGAGCTCAACTTGACGATTGCCTTGGCTTTCGACTATAGCTATATCTTTGTCATCCGAAGTGTTTAGAATCCTGCCTGCTACGAACGCACTGCGAAGGCGGAATATCACGCTCTCGGGTTCTTGGGCAGGTGCTGGACTCGCCATTGGAGGGAGAATGATAAATGACTGAAATGCCTTTGACCATGCTTTGTGCGGTCCGAACCTTAACCTGGGAATTTTCACACTGAAAGCTGATCTTTCTGATCCGGAGGAGGATAGTGGTCCTAAGGCTCTGGCCTGGATGTGGGGCTATGATCTTTGCGGTGTTTGCGATTCTTACGCCCATCGGCAGCGGTTTGATACCACGATCTTTAGGTTATAAGCTCTGATTTATCGTTGCGCCCACACTGCTGCTTATCTTATAACTTAACGAATTGTAATGAACTTTTGCGAGTGCACGCCACTGTTATGTGCTAACACAATAAGTATTCATTCGTATATGATGTGGTAGGTTGACGCGTGTGTAGTAAGTGGGAATACCATGGGTATATTATATCCGTTCTAACAACTGCCTCGTTTCAAGGCTGCGTGGTGTGTTACCCGCTGAGCATCCATGGCATTGTAACCTTCTTGTCCGAGTCATCCAAAAGTTTGAAGACGGTCCTGTACAGAGCCCGACTCTTAGGAAGCCAATGCACACATAGCCAGTACATAATTGGCCCATAATTATATCCCTCCGAAGGAAGCTCCCAGAGTGGCCTCATCCTGAAGACGAGCCGATGCAAGTGTATATCGCGACGGCACAAAGCCTGATCGAATGCAGCCCAAATATCCTGATTCCAGTCGGGCATAGAGCCACTGTACAAAGAATCCATGTCGATTTCGAGTTCAATCAGGACCGCGATGAGTCGGTTAACGGTCGGGATGACATTAAGATTGGACGTCCACCATGCGACAGCAGCATCTGTCTCTGCGGAATCGTTGGACAACCGAAGAGTGATGTTAACGGATTTCACGTTGCCGAGGTTCAGTGCACCAGGCGATTCTAGAAGCGTCGTGTTAGTGTGGCCGACTTATTCACACAGGATCAGAAGCTTACCTATCTTAAAGTGTCCGCAACTGAAGTCATCGAGTGGGAACTCTAAAAGGCTCAAGAAAGCACGAATCCGACGAACCATCGCGTCATCGCACACAACACCTGTCTTTCCCCCGCAGATCTCGAGCCTGTCTAGTGCACGCAAAGAGGCAGGGGAATCACAACCAGCAAATAGGTCCAGAATGGTGAATTCGCCCTCATTGAAAGTCACAGAGAAGCGCGACAGCTCCGGTCCTTGCAGGTTACTTTGAAGTTCTCCGACAGATAAATCGGACGTTCCCCGAGGAACGTGGATCACTTCGACATCGTATTCCTCGACTTGGTTATCTTCAAAAACGAGTCATGTGAGCGTGGGCATGGAGGATACGAGGCTTTTGATGTCGTATTTGGTGCACTTGATTGATGTCAAGCCTAAGATGCTGATATGGGGGAATGATGAAAGTGCGGAACGGAATGATGCGCGATTTGCAACGTTGAACCAGTCTAGGCCTGTGAGCTCCATGGCATTTATTGGAACTTGTTCGTCTTTGAGTAGCTCAAGGAGCGGAACGAAGTATTGGTCATATCCCAAGATTAATGAGCTATCATCGTTGATATCCAGCTCTTGGACAGATTCATCGGTGGTTGGGCAAGGTGCGTTTGCAGGAATATCAAGAGCATGGCAGATCGATGGAGAGTACAAGATGTAATCGTAGAGATACCGACACGAGTATTTTTGCTCCTCGCCTAGTTGTAGGAAATCTTGGAGTGTCAATCGCACCATATGAGAAGAACTGGGATGATATAAGTAAGATTGTCGATACGACTTCGAAGGAAGCACCTACCAGAAGTCAGCGTACTTCAGAGAAAAGTGACAAGGATCTCCGAGTGGCGGCCTCACATCGATAACAAATTTTTTGATCCTCAGAGAACACCTGACACTGTATCAGAACCTGATGTTCATTCCGTGAGTCGCCGGCACACGGCTATCTAAGGTAGCTCAACGATAAGAATCGTAGAAAAACAAATGGACATCCCGGGGGAAAAATTGTGCGGCACCTTGGACAGTTCACTACCACCGCATCCAGAACGCGTCGTGAGAAGCACATAGACTTCAAACCCAGAGGGTTAGTTCACTTGTAAAGATTCGTCCAAAAACGATTCGAAGCAAATTTCGACGCGAACTAGTGATTGTTTGGCGAACCCTCAACTTTGTCAACAATAAAGGTAACCATAGAATGTTTGATTCTGGGAGTGTACGTCCACATCTTGAATAGTGTCGTGGATGAAGCTACCGGTTGACAGTTAGAACTTCACCTCTTTCTTCGACGGACCAAGCCGAACCAAGTTCGACGAATTTGAAAGCTCGGGTTTCTAACCATTTGGGTTAGGGTTCGGGGTACGACGGTGATGATCGGTCTCGTTCGGCAATAATGACGTGCTCAGCGCGCTTGCTCGGCAAAGTTCTGAGTTCTGCGAGTATCTAATAAAGCGGCTTGCCAGGCTAGCAAAGTTCGCAGTGCGCACTAAGGTTCAACGCGCAGCTGGCATGGACAATAAGTTGACTCTTCAACAAATGTTTCTGAAGAAATTTTCCTGTTCAAATTACTTCGAAATTGAACCGAGTGACCTCTCTTCGTTCTGTGACCTGATGACGTCACGCATCACGGGCCAATCTAAAATTGAACAAATTACCTTGCTTACCGAACCGTGTCTCTCTTGCCTATTACCATCATGAACATCTGCCAGCCGAAAACCGACCGTGACTACATCCCCATCTCAGACCATGGCCTGTAGGTTTTATTGTTTCTCTTTAGCACGAGTCTGTGACGAAATGTTGAACCTAGGATTGGAAACTTGCATAC